AGATGGCAAAGGCAAATTGAATTTCCAGCCGAGCTCGGGTCGGAGGAAATGTTTGTTCGAACACCATGGGTTTTTCAGTTGCTGTTAAAGGGAGGAAGTTGTGACGTCTTTTCTCTTCCTATCCTGATTAACATGGCTACCCTCGTATCTTTCTTATTTGACACGAGTGTAATATAGACTTATGACTTCCTCACGGGATTTTGGCTCTCACATCGTAGAGTAGTATTAGCATGCTACATGTAATACGTGTATCTACAGTCCAAGTCACATCGTCTGAAACAGAGGATAGGTAGATATCAAAAACTTGGATACTGCTGCCCGAACATATCAAGTAGATAGTCAAAGTTCGCTCCTTGGAGCAAATCCACCGTGTTCATGTCAAAATCAGGTAGACCGAGGTAATCCATCTCGGTAGTCGGAGTGGTCATGTTGAGCTCCACTGGCCCATTCCCCGACTCCTGTGCATTCAGCGGGCCTTGATCTTGGCCGGCCATTGACTCCGCACTGGCACTCGGGAGAGGAACCGAGGGATCATAGGAGGAGAGTTTCCGTCTCTTGGTTGGGTTTGCGATTGCGGGTTCCTCGCATGAGGAGGGATTGATGTTCGGGTTCGAGGTCGAGATTCGAGGTTGCTGTGAAGAGGTAAAAGAGTGCCGGATGTTCTCAGCGAGGAGACTCAGCGCTCGATGGCAATGTTTGGCTGTGTCCCAGTGCGCGGACATGATTCGGAGAAAGGTGAGGCAGTCGTTTATTTCGCTAGTGCAACGGTATTAGTTCGGTTCTCTTTTTTTCGTAGGACCTGCTGGGAACTTACAGAGACCCCTTAGACCAGACGTACTGTCCCAGCTGGCAGGCAAAGGCGAGGACCAGGCCTGCCATCCAGGCTGCGGAGAGAAAGCCCGGCCAGAAGAGGGCCTGCTTTGCATCGATCTGGGCGCGGAGGGCGGAGAGGATGCCTCTTGCGGCGCCGATGCAGGTTTGCAGGCCGGAGTTGAACTCGGGGGTTGAAGGGGCCAGAGAGAGGGAGGGACGGTTGATGAGGAGGATGAGGTGGTGGTAGAGGACTGTGAAGAAGGGGCCGAAGTGGAAGGGTTCGTCATCCTGTGATCGTTGGTATATGGAGTCGCTGGTCCTGGCCGGGGTGCCTTGGAGGGTGGTGGGGAGGCTGTTCCACCATTTGTGCACGTCTGTGACGAGGATGAGGACGGAGCTGCGGCGAACGGAGCGGACGAGGATGGACTTGTGGAAGAGCTCTAGCGCGCGGCCGGTCAGCTTGCCGGATTCGACGTAGCTCATGAACGCTATTTCTCTCTGATGTTGTTCGCGTTCTCCTGGGTCTATGATGCCGCTGGAGTGTCGGTGTTGTTGGGGGTGCTGGGGGCTGGCGAGCTCAATCTGTGCGGGTGTGGACGAAGCCGGTGTGCTCTTTCCAGGACTGCCTGCCACAAAACGCGGCGTAGAGCCCTCACTCGTGTCCCGAACCTTGTGCAAACCTGGCGAATGCACCTCGTGGGCTCCTGGAGCGCAGACGTCAACGTCCGAATCCTGTATACCGAGAGGCAAGCCCAGAGCCTGGCTCAAGTACCGGTCGATAGCATACGCGCACCAGAAAATCCTTTTGCGCAACTGCCGGTCGTGTGTCGAGAGCTCTTTGTAGCGAAACGGGCATCGATGGAGACCAGCGTGCAGCATAGACCGGAGAATACAGCCGCCTACCGTTGACGCCGTCCGAAGAGACATCTTGGCTACCAGGTACAACTGGGCCGCGAGAAGAGCCTGCAGGGACAGGAGATCCTGCCTCCGCGTTAGAATAGCGAGCAAGGAATGCATGCTTCCGGGGGATTTGATTCGGGATTCCGGCGGAAGGGACAGATCGGGTCGCAGATGGCTTGCGAGGTTGAACACACACTGAAAGATTGTCGTCCAGCACGCGTTTCGGTGGTCCGTAGACGTAGACGGGATATTCCCATGATTCTGCCCCTCAGTCCCGTGCGAGTCTGAGTAAAGCAACTCCATCGCCCGCAGGAAGCTGGGGCCATGTAGAAACGGGAACAGGGGATGCCACACTTTGAAGTAGACCATCATAAGTTCCCTCGCCATGTCCAGTGGCGGAGCCTTGCCGAGCTCATGAGCGATTTCCGAATCATACTGCCACTTAGAAAGACAGGCAGACGGCCCAGACACGGACGGAGAGCGGACAGTAGACGGGGACTGATCAGCATGCGACTCATCGCTACCCACAAGCGTGTCTTCCGGCAGAGGCAAACTTATTTTGGACGAATCCAAGTCCTTGGAGAAGGCACGTCGAACGGTATTGATGAAAAAGACGCCGCTGGAACTGCCAATGAACTGACTCTCTTCGTTCGAGTGCGCTGTCAGGGAACCAATCTCCGACGGGCCAGAGGTGAGATCCGAAGAGTCCATCCTGAGGACATGGTGCCTTGACCAGTCCTAGATAGGCTTTGCCTGGACCAACAGTTCAGGACAGACTACGATGTTGCTCGGTTGATGGACAAGCAAAGCTTGACTGCTCTTCCTCGCCAGTTTAGCTTCGTTGAGTTCTTTCTCCCCATCAACGCTTGCTTAGTCATCTCTCATCGTTCGATTCTGATAACTACGCCTCTTCCAGGTCTTGGAGGATGAAAAACGGCGATAAATGTGTCAATCATCTATCACTGGAAAATAAGAAGTAAGCAGCGAGATAAATGAGTTGGCTGGTAAATCAAGAATTACAGGTATGGATAAGGTAAAGCGCGTAAACTAATCACCAGAACATTAAACGTTAAAAGATAAAGGACCACATGCACAGTCAAGGAATGCGTTCGTGTGGCATCATAAGCTAGCTGAGCAGGCCACCATGTTGAGAGGCCAACTGTGAATAATCAAGTCATTGAAGTTACTGGACATTGGGAAATAGTCTTAAGAAGACATGCATTACTTCGAACTAATCACATTGTTCTATCTTGCAAAAAGGTCAAAGTATATATACCGTCAGAAATACATATATACAGGTATCAAGATTGAAGATAGCCTTCGAAGATGAAGGAAGGTCATGCCACTGTTCGTACAATATCATCAATCGCCCTGGCGACATAGCGGACATTTTTGCTGTTCACTATCGAGACTGTCAGTGTCGAAATTCTCACAAGGGAGAGTGCACTTACAGCCAGCCATGGAGATGCGTCCTGACTTCATCATGTAGATGTGATGTCGTCGTCGAATCTCGAGCACCTGGGTCTCCGTCAGGCCGGTGTACGTGAACATGCCAATCTAATATTGTCAGCAAATAAATTCAAGCCTAATCTCACGACGAGATAAGGCCTACCTGGTCCAGAACGTGGTTCCATGTGCCTGGTGTGCCCAGTCGGATCAACTCGTCATATAACGCCTGGCGCATCTGCTTGATTCGCCCGCTCATGTGCTTTAAGTCTTCATACCATTGCTGTCTCAAACCCTCATCGCTGAGGACGGTCCGTACGATCTCGGACCCGCCTCGGGGAGCCATGGAATACTCTCCACGAACGAGATGAGAAAGATTGGCCAACACAACCTGCGGCAAAGTCCCCGAGCTCGAACTCGTGACCACATGCAGTGCGCCAGTGCGCTGCCCATAGAGACCGAAATTCTTCGAAAACGACTGCGCAACACAGAACTCCAGTTCGGGCTTGCAGCTCATGAAGTGCCTGATGGCCCATGCATCTTCGTCGAGACTTCCTGATGCGAACCCCTGGTACGCCAGGTCAAAGAATGGCACCAGGCCTTTTTGCTGGCAGAGCACGGCGAGCTTACGCCATTGCTCCTTGCTGGGATCAGCGCCAGTGGGATTATGTGCGCAGGCGTGAAGAATCACGACGTCGCCCTTCTTTGCTTGCGCAGAGAGCAGCCGCATTGTGCGCTCATAATCGAAGCATTTTCCCTTATGGTCATAGTACGGATACGTCCGGACCTCGACACCGACGAGCTCCCAAATCGTGTAGTGGTTGGCCCAGGTGGGGTCCGGAATCCAAACGCAGGAAGGCTTGATGGTGCGCGCGAGGAAATCCGCGCCTAGTCTGTTTGCGCCTGTCCCCGAGATCGTCTGAATCGAGGCGATCCGGTCTTGCGCTGCGGTCTGCTCGTTACTTGGGGACTTTCCAAACCCAAAGACCAGGTCGCGTGCTAGAGCTAGAAACTTGAGGTCGCCCTGGATGGTCAGGTACTCGTGTCTGGCGACGTTGTTCGCATGGAAGAGCTGTGCCTCGGCCTGTTCCACCACGCTCAGGGGCCATGGATCACCATCCTCTGTGCGATACACGCCGATGCCGAGATTGACTTTGTCAGGGTGACTGTCACTGAGATATTCGGCTTGAAGTGTGAACGGCTCATCGACGGGCGGCACGGACAGGGAGGAGAATCGAGATGGTGTTGACTTGGCGACAGACTTGACATAGGTTGCATCACTTGTAATGGCAGTCTGTCGGAGACCCTCGTCTATCTGGGCTGGAGCCATGGTGAAGGTAGATCTGCTGTATAGAGTTAAAGGGAGTCTATCCTGGTCCGGACCTCAGCATAGCGACGGTATTTATGCAGCGGCGGAGAGCTGCTATTTGACCCATCACGGTAGACATGAACACATTGCGATACCGTGGGCCAGCTTCAAGGGCCAATCCGAATGAGAGACAGCGGTCATACAACGGCTATTGTGAAGAATCCGATGGTCCAAGGGGAAAAGAATGCCGTAAATGCCGTTTATCGTCGGAGGTTGACGTCGTTCGGAAAAGATACCCGCCGCCAACCGCTAGCAGCCGACAACTCGAACGGCAAGACTACGACAATGAAATGGAAGACCATGGAATCATTGCGATGAAAGAAAATAAGGGGGATCTCAGTTGCTCTGGGGAGATCAAGTAAAGTAGGCGCGTGACGCGGGTGACTACAGTAGAGCTATTACCAATGAGCCGTGGTCGAGCCTATGCATCGGTGAACTTTATCGAAAAGAAAGATGATATCTTGATAAAAAATCAATCATGTCGCAAAACCAAGCGCTCAATTTCTGCGCACACCGTTTCGACAACCCCTTGAGTATTTGCGGTCCCTCCAAGATCTGGAGTTAGGACTCCAGCAGCGCACACCCTTTCAACGCATCCCATCAACTGTTTTGCAGCGTCCTTCTCGCCTAGCCAAGAAAGCATCTCTGCAGCCGACCAGAACGTCGCTACAGGATTGGCTACTCCCTTGCCAGTGATGTCGAAAGCACTTCCATGCACGGGCTCAAACAGGGACGGATTCTTCCTCGTTGGGTCTAAATTGCTAGAGGGAGCAACTCCAATTGATCCTGCCAGCGCGGCGGCCAAGTCTGACAGAATATCCATGTGCAGGTTGGTACCGACGATAGTGTCCAGGGAGTCGGGCTTGCCCACCATGCGAATCGTCATAGCATCCACTAGCATCTTGTCCCAGGTGACATCAGGGAAATCCCTAGCGACCTCTGCGGCCACTTGATCCCACAAGACCATGCCATTGCGCATGGAGTTGCTCTTAGTGACGACTGTCAAGTGACGACGAGGTCTTGAGCGTGCTGTTTCAAACGCAAATCTCATGATCCTCTCGATTCCAACCCGTGTGAATATGGCAACCTCCGTCGCAGCTTCCCACGGCTGGCCGACGTGACTGCGCCCGCCCTGGCCAGAATATTCGCCCTCTGAGTTTTCGCGTACGAGAACCCAGTCGATGCCGTTTGTCGCGGTACTAAGCGGACATTTTGTGCCAGGGAAGGTACGTACCGGGCGGACATTGGCGTACAATTGTAAAGGTCCTCGGATTGCTAACAAAAGACCCCAAAGAGAGATGTGGTCAGGAACATCTAACCAGGTCGGTCAGTTGCTGGTTGGCCAGAGTCGATCACTTAGGACAATCATACCTGGAGCGCCTACAGCGCCGAATAGTACTGCATTAAACTGTCGCAGTGTGTCCAGACAGTCTTCCGATGCATACCGACCATGTGCCTTGTAGTATTCCGTGCCCCACGGGATGTGAGTGAATTCGATGTCGAATGTTTGTAATTTTTGGCAGAGCTTCTTAACGACCTGGATCGTCGCTTCAACGACTTCTGGCCCAATACCATCTCCTGGAATGGACGCAACACGGTAGGTAATTGGACCTGTAGATGCCATTTTGCTTTTATTTTCTGCTAAATATGTTCGTAGCGATGAGAGTGCTGAGGAGCCAACAGGCCCCCACCCTCTATATATACCGATGTCATGCCTTTCAGATAGACAAACAGGGTAGCTCTCGGTCGAAAGAGATGAGCGTAATGCGCCTGAAGTTTCATCCTTGCAGTTAACTTCCCAGAGATGGTGACGTTCCCATTGTATTACTGGGTTACCGGCTGCAGTTGTTGGTGGAGAGAACCGTCGGTTAAACCTTTAGCCTGTAGATAATCCCGCACTTGTCCCGATTAGGATGGAAGGGCATCATCGTTCAGTCAAGAGATCGGGTTCATCAATTGATCACCAAATCAGTAGATATAGACTCTAGTGAACATGTCTACCAGTAAAAGCAGCAAAGGCTTCAAACCATCTCGGATCACAGTTGCCTGTAATTCCTGCCGGTCCCGTAAGCAGAAAGTGAGTGCTCTTCGTTCACTAATATCATCTTGCTGACAGAACTGAAGTGCAGCGGCAACAAGTAAGCTGTCCTAATGAATATAAGGCAGACTTGCTGACTGCAAAGACCAATATGTACTCAATGCCTCCAATCCCATCGGCAGTGTGACTGGCCCGAGCAGCTCAAACGGTTCGCTTCCAGTCCTGAAGGCAGATGTACAAGTCTCACCAAGGCAGAGGACCCGCAAAGGGATATATTGAAGCGCTCGAACATCGTCTGCATGAGACGGAACAGATGCTGTTGAGATTGCTGGCTCACATGACCGACGAGCAGTTATCGACTGCTCTTGAACGGGACCAGTCACCCTTTTTGCGTTCCGGGAAGAACGATGCACAATATTGGAGACAATATCCATTGCGCACAGCTCGTGATCTTCGAAAGTGGCAGCAAGATTGTTTGGCAGAAACAAGAGTGGCTGGCCTTCCTATGTTCTCGCCGTCGAGGCGCATCGACGCTTCTGCGCAATCAAAAGTCGAAGCTGACGAAAATAGTCCAGTAGCGCCTGAGAGTCAGCAAATCGAGGAACAGCCTGTACCTCATTCTGAACAGGATACAGGCGCACGCGAAGAGGAACTGAGATCCACTCAAGCGATCCACGGTAAGGACATGAACCAGCGTGTCGCATGGGAGAACGGTTACGATTCATGCAACGAGTTGAGAAAATCTTCAACAGCAATGGGATTCATGTTTATACCGTCGTCGTTGGAGTCTACCCGCTTAGAAGATACGCAGTCCTTGCACGCCGATACTCCCCCCGGACCAAACCTTTGGAGTGGAGCGCCCTCGGTAGCTTTCCAGCGACAATTCCTCTGGTAGATTTCAGTTGAGAACGTGTTACGTGAGCCATCAGAGATGCTACAGGAGTGCCGAGTGACAAGCAATCTACACTAGGGTAAACCTACATCAAGTCCACCTCGACGCACATACGCAATAGGAAACGGAATATGACGAAGTGCAAAGCAAACTCGAGTAAGAGACACCACACAGAACCAGCTCAGCATCCCTGCTCACTTTACACAGCAGGCAACGGCCGCACACGCCCACCCACGGGCTTCACAATCCTAATCCCCATCCCCGGCCTAAGCATCCCCCCCTTCTTAACCGTCCCCATCACCCCAGCCAACCTTTTGAAGACCCTACTCCCATCCCTTACCACACACACATCCCTCAATCCAGCCCGACACTTATCCATCCCCGGCCCCGGCTCCCGGATACCCGTCAACACCACAACAGCCTCCTCCTCACCGGCCCCACCGAAAAAATGCACCTCCGTCCCCAGCGGCAGCGTTGATAGCTCCACCCCCTCCGTCGTGATATTCTCGCCGATTTCGCCAGCCGAGAGTGGCTTTGCGTCTGCCCCAGCAGCAGCAGAAAGTCTCCCCGAGAGCTCGCGGAGTGTCTCCACGGGAACAAGATGTACCTGTCTGAGATTCGGGGTGTGCTGCGCTTGCGCCTGGGCGCGGTGCTGAGTGGTATGGCCTGCGTGGCAGTCGCCGTCGACGCCGTGGTTTGGGATGAGGGTTATAGATGGGACGGGGGTTTTGGTGATGGAGTGGGAGGGGGATTTGGAGACGGAGAGGATGCGGGGGGTGAGGGGGTGGTTTTGGTTGATGTTGAGGTTGATGTTGCTGTGGTGGACATTTTGCAGGGTCAGGCAGTATTCGAGTATTTGCTCTGCGTAGGTACTATGTATGTGATGGTGATGCTGTTGCTTGATGCTTGATGCTTGATGTTGATGTTGATGTTGATGCTCTAGAGTACAAGGGGATTACTGAGGATATCTATTCTGGAGACGCCGCCATGCCATGCCATGCCAACTCATCCTGCATATGAACCTCGATCTAAGCTGATGTGCAGGACTATCCACGAATACAATTCTGTCTAGCGCTCACGAAGTGACTACGCAGCGTATAGGTGGATTCTTGGGGTGATGGCTTGCAGTGTTCGCTCCACTGTAGAAACCCTAGGGTCGGTGCTGGGTGGAGATTGTGGTTGTGAAGGAGGGAAGGGCGGGCGTCCGGCTTGTTCTCGATGGGCATTTGTACAGGTGTTTAGTTTACGGGTACGAAAATGATATGAGTTTGATTGGTGGTGCTTGAGAGGCGGTTTAATGATGATGTAGAGGATGTGGTGTACCTAGATACAGTGCTCAATTCCTGCCAGTTGCAACGTGAACCTCAATCCGTCCGGTCCCCGTATTCTGCGTCTTGACGTACGCCAAATCCAGCACCCCATCCTTATTGAAATCAATCATCTGCCAGAACCCATTGTCCTCGGGATAGAACGTGGTGCCGACCTCCTGGACACGGGTCTGATATGTCGACGCCCCAGACGCAACATGGACCTCCACACGGCCGGTCCCCGTGTTCCTGGTCTTGATATACACCAGGTCCAGCTTCCTATCTCTGTTGAAATCAATCATTTGCCACACTCCGTTGTCCTCGGGGTAGAAGGTCGTGCCGACTTCCTGGACGCGAGTCTGGTAGTTCGATGCGCCAGAGGCGACATGCACCTCCACCCGTCCGGTTCCTGTATTTCGAGTCTTGATGTAGATCAGGTCGAGGATGCCATCGCCGTCAAAGTCGGCCATCTGCCAGGTCCCGTTATCTTCAGGCAAGAAAGTCGTGCCGACTTCCTTGATGCGGGTCTGGAAGTTGGACGCCGCCGAGGCAATGTGCACTTCCACTCGGCCGGTGCCTGTGTTGCGGGTCTTGATGTACACGAGGTCATCACGGCCATCACCGTCGGCATCAATCAGCTGCCAGACGCCATTGTCTTCGGGCCAGAAAGTCGTGCCAAGCTCCAGCGTGCGGGTCTGGTAGTTGGAGGCCCTGGAGGCGAGGTGGACTTCCACCTTGCCGGTGCCGGTGTTGCTGGTTTTGATGTAGCCCAGATCTGGACCGGGTTTGTTGGCAAAGGAGGGAGTCAAGGACCAGGGGCCGTAGGGGTCTGGAGAGGTAAAGGTAGTCCCAGTGGCGAGGATGCGGGTTTGGTATGGGGCTGCTGTGGCCGAGGTAGCCAGCAGCGGAAGAACGAGATGCCAGATGGCGTTTAACGAAAGGGGTTTGGTCTGCATGACGAAGGTAGTCTGTTGCTGTGCTGTAGTGATTTGATCAAAGTCATAATTGCGAGCGATTGAGCCGTATTTATAGATTGTTCATTGCACAGGCGGGGGCATCGGGATTTGGGACGTCTCTTCAGCTGCTGTTCAGCTGTCTCGAGCAAGAATATTTCGGTCCCCCGCCGTGGCTGAGACATAGTATGGTCTGGACATCGGATATTAGCGAGATTGTTCTACTGTTCAGAAGGCCAGCTTGGCTCGAAGTGACGTTGCTGCGGAGCGGCAGCTTCAGGCGCCATGGCAGAGCGAGGAGGCTGGCTGACTTCTCGACATTGACGCTGGTAAATGTCAATCGCTTCAGGTTGCCGGTTTGAAGTGCATGTTCTTCATATGTGACGAGGGGCGACTCCAATGTGGTACTGCAGAAATCATGCCATGCCCTTGAAGAAGCAGGGAGGATGTACAGTACTTTTGTGATGTAACCTTGGACAGGGGTTGGTTCATATTCAGATGAATTGACATCCAAGCGGCCGAGAACGTCCTATCCCGTGATCGGCTGCAGATGATCATGCGATTTGAGGTGCAAGCATCTTGACTGTAATCGGAGAGTTTGTAACCGCAGTCGACTATGAAGCAATGCTCATGGTTGACAGGACCTGAGCTACAGTTGCCCAATACGACCTGCGGAGTGACAGCGCTGCAGTGCACTGCTCCCTCTTCCGAAATTGATTCCATCAGAAATGAGAGGATACAGAAGATCGGGCTGAAAACGAGAACTCTTGATGCTGACATCCATCAGTCCTGTCAAAATCGGCAATACTTGCCATCGTCGTATTGGGCTGAGCCTTTCGGGACAATGAACTATGGAGCCGAATTGATCATGACAAGGTTCAACTCAACTTTCACTCAACCCAACTATGGAAATCCTTCCAGCAATTACGTCTTGAAAGGGGCGGGCAGAGAGGCGCCTTAGTCGTGTATCTGCCTCGAGAGGTGATGTTTATGGCTGATATGCTACGAGTGGATACAGGCTTAGATACATATCCTTCTGACCGGCTGGGCAAGCAGTTCGATTATTCTGCCAATCGGATCAAGTACAGTGAGAACGCGCTAAGAAATACATGCTTGGCACCAGGTCATGAACATGATGGTATTAAAGAGCAGAAAGACCATCACTTTGCACTGTGATGATGGCATCAGACTGGAGTATTTGCTTCTTCCCAATATTTCTATTGAAGAATGATACCAATGAATATGTTTCTCATCATCATCTTGCATATCTGACATGCTGTCTAGTGATTTCTCCAGATATGGGCGACAAGGAAGATGCCTGCTAATAGGCATTGAGCAGCTGCATGACAAACAATTAGAGTACACTAATATCCTTGATACAAGTTGTCTTGCAGAGCACCTGACATTCAACTCTATGGATATAAATTCTAGATTACAAGTAATAAAATCGTGCATGCATCATTTAAAACGTTCCCAGGTTCTCAGCGACCTTGAACGGAGCGGCAGTCTTGCTGCGGATCTCGTCGACGGTCACGCCCTCGGCGGTCTCGGCTAGGGTCAGACCTTCGGTTGGGCTGACGTCGAAGACGGCCAGATCAGTGATGATCTTCCAGACACAGCGAGGACCGGTGAGAGGGAAGGTGCACTCGGGCAAGATCTTAGGGTTGCCCTTTTTATCGGTGTGTTCCATGGTGACAACCACCTTGGTCTTCTCGGGGTTGGCGACGAGGTCCATGGCGCCGCCGACACCCTTGACCTTACCAGGGAGCATAAAGTTCGCCAGATCACCATACTGGCTGACCTGCAGGGCACCGAGCATGGTGAGATCGATGCGGCCAGCGCGGATCATACCGAAACTCTCGTGGGAGCCGAAGACGGAGGCGCCGGAGCTCAGGGTGACGGTTTCCTTGCCCGGGTTGATCAGATCGGGATCCTCCTCGCCGGGCTTGGGGTAGGGACCGAGACCGAGGATACCGTTCTCAGCCTGGAGGACAACTTCGACGCCTTCGGGGAGGTAGGCAGGGGCGATCAGGGGGATACCGATACCGAGGTTGACGTACATGCCGTCCTTGAGTTCCTTGGCGGCACGCTTGACGATGCGTTCACGACGAGCGGTAGCCTCGCCAGATCCTGGAGCAGTTAGCAAGGAGCTATAGTATCAGATGCTAGAAGCATGCATACCAGCCTGGAGCATCTCGCTGGGATCCTTGGCGAAGGTGAGCTTCTCGATCATGGTCTTTTCCGTGCTCTGGATAACCTTGTTGACGTAGATGCCTTGCAGATGGATTTCCTCGGGAGACAGCTCGCCAACCTCGACAATGTGGTCGGCCTCGACGATAGTGTACTTGGCGTTCTTAGCCATGGCCTCGTTGAAGTTGTTCATGGCCTTGCGGAACTGGCAGTTACCGAGTTTGTCGGCCTTGTGGACACGGATCAAAGCGTAGTCGCCGAAAATGGATTCTTCCAGAAGGTAGTTCTTGCCGTTGAACCTCCGGACTTCCTTGGGTTTCGAGTATTCCTTGACGGTGCCATCTTTGTTGTAACGGACGGGCAGTTCACCAGTTTGGACTGCTATCGTCAGCTGCGAATTTGAAGCCGTGATCAGAGCAAACCTACCAATTGTTCCATAAGCCGCAGGAGTGTAGAAAGCAGGGACACCAGCTGCACCAGCCGCACACTTCTCCGCAATAGTGCCTTGAGGGGTAAGTTCCAGAGCGAGGTCGCCGTTCAGGTACATCTTTTC